TCCCGCCGCCGAGCGTTCCTCCACACTGGGCCTGAGGTCCCGCCGCCGAGCGTCCCACCACACTGGTCCTCAGGTCCCGCCGGCGAGCGTGCCTCAGGTCCCGCCGCCGACCGGTCCGCCACACTGGGCCTCAGCTCCCGCCGCCGAGCGTGCCTCCACACTGGTCCTCAGGTCCCGCCGACGAGCGGGCCTCAGGTCCCGCAGACGAGCGAGCCTCAGGTCCCGCCGCCGAGCGGGCCTCAGCTCCCGCCGCCGAGCGTGCCTCCACACTGGGCCTCAGCTCCCGCCGCCGAGCGTGCCTCCACACTGGGCCTCAGCTCCCGCCCCCGAGCATTCCACCTCACTGGGCCTCAGCTCCCGCCGCCGAGCGGTCCTCAGGTCCCGCCGCCGAGCGTTCCTCCACACTGGGCCTGAGGTCCCGCCGCCGAGTGTCCCACCACACTGGTCCTTAGTTCCCGCCGCCGAGCGTTCCTGAGGTCTCGCCGCCGAGCGGTCCGCCACACTGGGCCTCGGGTCCCGCCGCCGAGCGTGCCGCCACACTGGGCCTCAGCTCCCGCCGCCGAGCGTGCCTCAGGTCCCGACGACGAGCGGGCCTCAGCTCCCGCCGCCGAGCGGGCCTCCACACTGGGCCTCGGGTCCCGCCCATCCCTGGGCGGGTCGACGCCATTTCTCCTGTCCTCGAGCGGGTCGACACCGTCTCTGCTGGCTCGGGATGCTGGGACCTGCCAAGGATGGATGACCGTCCCGTTGGCAGGGAGACTGCCCCAGTCTCTCGTGTTCCTGAGCTTTGGCCTGTTTCGGCCTCCCCTGCCCCAGAGGGGATCCGCCTTCGCCGGCTTCCGGCCCGAGTCCGGCCTCCCGAGGGATCCCGCCTTCTTCCAGCTCAGCCGCCAGAAGGTCTCCGTCTCGTCTGTCGCCGGCCTTTAGATGGTTTCTACCACTGGTCTCCAGCCCGACTGCCAGTGGGTTTCCATCTTTTTTTATCGCCGGCCTCCTGATGGTTCTGCTGCTGTCCTCCAGTGCTCTTAGCCCTCCGGCCTTTCCCCCTCCGCCGCCGCCGTTCTCCAGCGCGCCGCCGCCGCCGCCGTTCTCCAGCGTGTCGCCGCCGCCTCTGCTGTTCTTGGGCAGGTCGACACCGTCTCTGCTGGCTCGGGATGCTGGAACCTGCCATGGATGGATGACAGTCCCGCTGGCAGGGAGACTGCCCCAGCCTCTCGTTCCTGAGCCTTGGCCTGTTTTGGCCTCCCCTGCCCAAGAGGGGATCCGCCTTCGCCGGCTTCCGGCCCGAGTCCGGCCTCCCGAGGGGATCCCGCCTTCTTCGTCTCCGGGCTCCAGCTCAGCCGCCAGAGGGTCTCCGTCTCGTCTGTCGCCGGCCTTTAGATGGTTTCTACCACTGGTCTCCAGCTCAACTGC